CAGACCATCCAAAGGAAATGCCTAACATTCCAACCGCTGTAGATAGAATCACCTGCCAGCACACACTCACCAGGACACCCCTAGATAAATGTCAGCCAGTCAAAGGTCCTGAACCTCAGAAACCCCTCACCCCCACCTTTACTACTATAAAAACCCAATTCTGACAGAGCTCTGGGCTCTCAGTTTATTCCAATACATTGGGCATGCCAGGAGACTGAGTTTGCAAACTTGCTTAAAATAAAGGCTCTTTGCTTTTACATATGGGACTCAGTTTTCTTGTTGGCTTTTGGGGGACTTCGCGGATTTGGGCATAACAGTTAAATGTGTATTGGGATCTGAACTCTTGTCGTCACTACTGCTTTTAAGTATTTACCCATCTCTCTGGCACCTAGAGTATGTAATTTCATATTCATACATGCCTTTTACCTAAATTTTCAATTATTCACGGCACATTTCACCTTTTAGGGAACTATCTCATTTATTTAGTGAGCACATTTACTTTTTGCCCTATCTGTTCAAACATATCCTCACAAAGGCTTGAGCATTGTTCATTAACATACCAAGAACTTTGACAATATTGAAAACATTCGATATATTTGCAGAAAGAATGAATTCATTGAGCAAGCAAAGGGTTTTTCATTATTTATTTCAAATTGAATTATAAGTTATTAGTTTATTTTCTACAATGTAAACATGTGTTCATAATTGTGAAGGTCCTGATGCCTGCATCACTATTTTTTTTTAAATATTTCTTATGGTTTATTTAACTTGATTTTATGTGCATTGGAACTGGATCTTCAGACAGTTGTGAGCTGTCATGTGGGTGCTGGGAATTGAACCCGGGTCCTCTGGAAGAGCAGTCAGTGTTCTTCACCGCTGAGCCATCTCTCCAGCCCCCTGCATTACTATTATAGACTCATGTAGGTACAGCCTAATGAGATGATATATTCCATAAGTTATAACATATACAAACTAAGTCAGTTGTACTTGTATTATAGTTTCCACTTCTCTTTAATCCAGGCATGAGTAGAGGGAAAGAGTGATGTCCCAGCCTGCTATTGATAAATGCTTTTTAGAGTGACATGCATTGAGAATGTGCTGACTTTGGGCATAATGTCCATTTTCTATGCAAGGACCCCCACTCTTGCTGCTTGACTTAGGGATATCATGTAAAGACAGGACCAACCAAATCCTTGTCTGAGTGATTGATGTCTCCAACTCAAAGAAAAAATGATCTCCTATTTTATCTAATCTTCATGGTTTTACTTTACATTGAAAATGAACTTGACTCAGTGTATATGAAGTTGGTTGATGTCTCTAAAAGCTGTAGAAATAAACACAGTTATTATCTATATGAAATAATGATTTCTTCTTGAGTTAAAAGGAATGGTGTCAAGAAAATGGCTTTGAATGTCTCAAATAACATTATCCAATGTGGAAACAATTTTATACTTAACTAAACAAAAGAAAGTTACATGTAAAGGTACTTTTCAAGTATGTTCGGGGGATAGCAGGTAGATGGGTCACAGCGAAGCAGGAAAATCTTTACCAGAGGTTTCAGATACCAGCTGATGACATACTTACCTTTTCTGTTCGTTGTCTGAAGCCAAAAGGATTCAGATGATAATTAGAAGTGTGGTAGAACAGAAGGAGAAGTGTTCAGTGCATGCTATTAAGGGGACTAAAGATAGTCTAACGTAATAAGGGCTGGAATCAGCAACATTTCAACTATTCACACCTAACGAAGTTCTAATCAGCATTGTAGACTATTGAGCATAGGTGCAGGGGTTAGGGGTTAGTGGTTATTGTTCTGGGGATTGCTGTCCTCAAGGACGGCATCTGTTTTCAAATCTAAACACTGAAGCATATTCAAGACCTCTACATGCTGCAGAATTATAACATAAAATTTAACAATAGACCATTTTCTTAAAGTGTTCATGAAAAACCCAAGGTTTGAGTCCCTAATGGCTGGGAAAATGAGTGCAGGATAACTGAAGAAAGAATTCCTGTTTGGATTTCTTTACAGTATGCCGATTTCATAGACTTAGTAAGGTTTATGGATTTGCCCAAGTAGTAAGCAAATGAGACAACTTGAAAGGCAGCTTGCACAGAGCATAATTCCAACAATGTACTGCATATCTCAAAAATCCAGAAGAAGCAAAGAGGTTGCTATAAAAAAGGACAATTTCTTGAGTACCTAGATGTGTTCAGCCCAACATAGACACTAAAGATTGCACAAAAGTATGAAAACTCACATCTTCACTTGATTGTCTATAAATACTTAAATTTTTACCATCTCAGGCATCAACTAAAATAAACTTAATTTAAAAATAAATGTAGAGCTGAGAGGATATCGCAGTGGGTAGGAATACCTGCTGTGCAAACATTAGGAACTCAATTCAGATGCCTAGCACCCATGTACAAGTCTGGAAATACAATTCGCCTATAAGCCTGCTGGCTTGCCACTCTAGGGGATCAATGAGCTCCAGGGGGAATAATGTGGATACCAACAGAATAATACAGTCAAAGTACTCCTTTGGCCTCTGCACATACATATAGGGATATGTACACAAATATATACACCACATATACACACTACATATACATACAAAGTGAAAAATGACTAACACACTACATGCACACATGTAAATATACAAATAAGAAAGCAAATACATATCTATTTGAAAATAATAAACTAAAAATGAGCTAAAAATTAAATACATTGAATGTGCTGAAATGGAAAATCAAATTGCAGAGAAGACAAATCACAAAACAAATTAAAAAAAAACCATTCAATAAAACACAATTAAAACAAAAATACTGTTTACTTCTCACAGATGATAGTATGCAACCCTGTGAGGAAAGTTACCCCTTTCTTTTGTGTGCACAAAGAGCTGGAATTAGGGGGGGGGGACCACTGTGTAAAGGAGAAGGGAGCAAGATATTTGAAATTGTTCAAAGTAAGGAGAAAAAGTCAGGAGCGCAGAATACAATACAACATGTGTATCTGAATCTTACCCAATCTGCTATGTTTTCCCTCAGTCTGCTCTCATTGCTTTCATGAGATCTTTGCCTATGTTCTGTGATCTGGAAGAAAAGAGGTACCATGCACTCTTCCACTTGCTCACCTTAATCTCTTGGGATGCTAGCCAGTAGCTTTCATTTGTCATCTTAATGTTTATTCTGTTTCTTTACATTGTATAACTTTATTACCATAAAATTATCAGCATGTGTGCTGGGGGACAGAGAGCAGAAAGTGTGTGCTTACCTTTTTTTTCTTTTTTAAGAGGAATCAGACTTCAAGATAAAAAATCAGTAGGGTTTTGCTATTATAAATGACCAACAAAATCACACGTGATTGTAACATTTGAACAGACAGTGACCCAGACAGGAAAGAGACCTGTCACTGATGATGGATAATTGCTTTAAATTCTCTTAGTATTGGCTCTGCTGACAGATGAATATGCTTTTGCTGATATATGTATATTGACTTTCAAAAGTATTTAGTAAAGGTTCCTAAAAATGATTCTTTCAGAAAATATCCTGATATTTAAAATATACCTCAATAACACACACAAATTTTGTGTGATCGACCTCTCTTTCTTTTCCTCTCTCTTTTCCTTTTCCTTTCTTTTTCTCTTTTCTTTTTTCTTTCATTTTTGATATGCTAATGTTAAAAGTCAAGATCTACAATAATATTAAATATCTAGCTGCCAACCAAGGCTGAGGTTGTTGATCAAAGAGTATATTCTTAGCTTATATATATGAAGTCCTGGGTTAAAATCCAAATCTAAGAGAAATGAATAAAAAAGTAAACCAATGGAAAACAGGATGCCCTTGTGCTGTAATACATGCAGTTTTGTTGTGTATACTGCCACCTATAACTCACTGAACTACAGCTCCTCTTTCTTATCTAGAAGCACCTGACATAACCAAATACCAAAGAGACAGGGTGACCAGCAGTCATTCAAGACATCACCACAACAATAGGAAGTAGATGTTAAATGCCATAGCTTTATTATTTCTTTTGTATTTACTTAATAAATAATAAACTAAGACATATTAAGACTTATTACATTCCTTGTTTGACATGTCAAATTTGCCTTCACATTTATGGATTCAATTTGAGAGCAAAGATATAAATGAAAGTGTTCTTACAGTCAGCCAACTAAGAGTGAAACAAGAACTTACAATCCTTAAATCTCCCTTTCTTTGAGCACAAAAATTTTATACTTGGCTGATTATTTATAATAACACAATACCTACTGATTTATCATCTTGAAGCCTGATACCTTTGAGAAAGTTTGGATTAAGCTTACTGTGCTCTGCCTCTGACAAATGCCTAGAGAACACTGTGCTTATGATCAGTTAAACTCAAACCATAAACTTTGAGGGAAAATGAAGGGTATTTCTTTTTCTTTCTCTTTTATAGTAAAAAAGAGTTCAATTTCTAACTCTAGTATTCCTATATTAACATAGCTTGATTCTGTAAAATATTTCTGATTTTCAACATGGTATTGATAATGCTAATGATGATAAAGGTCAATGAAGTTCCTTAAGTAATCAGATCATGTGTTCTGGCATAAACCAGTTTTTCATCCCTGGCACTAATGAAATGAACATAATTGCATGTGTCTTAATCATAGATAAACACATATTTAATCAAATAAAGAGGAAAAAACAGATCCCCAGGAAAATTCAGTTCTTGAGATTTCCAGACAACAGACAACTTGGTCAAAACCATTCAGGCATGTCAGAAACATCAACCTCCATTTATCAGAGCATCTTGCCGTGGAGTCTCAGACTATACTTACTTACTGTTTAGGCTTACATCAATTTAACTCTAGCCTATCTGGGACCCCAGCACCCAATAACATATGTGCAAGGAATTATCACATAACAAAGGTAGTCAGCAAAAAAAGAAGAGAAAGTATGTTGAAAACTTTCAGAAGACTAACAGTTTCCCATACACTCTTCTGTATGGAGGTAAAGTGACTTACTTTCAAGGGAGACTTCCAAAATTGCAAGACCTCAGTACCCTTTTCTGCATCTCCCACAGTCTCCAAGGTCGTCAGTGTCCAGTGAGAAGGATGATCTGGGAATGAGTGCCGGGCAGAACTATTTTTCATTCCATATCTCTTATCAGAAAATCTCATTATTTCTGCTGTATGAACTTCACATATCTTGGTGGTTTGGGCTTGGGATGGGTTGAGCTCGCTTCCTGTTTTCCAGAGTAGCTATGAAAGACACAAGGTTAAACCCGGATTTAAGAAACATGGCTGAGATTTTATAACATTTAATACTATAAACATTCACCTGTTCCATAGTTAAATATTTTAAATTTTGGTCAAACCCATCTGGAATTCATTCGTTCATGTTCTACAAAATAAAATCTAAGTCATTCTTTCTGCAATATTATGAAGTTCTCTCCTAATATAAACAAACGTGGAAAAGTGGAAATGTCTGAATTTGTGGAATTTATTATGCTTCACAGATCCAGTAATACTTTATAAGAATGTAGCTTAACTATGAAGTTTCTTTTCCAAAACCATTTTAATATTTGCAGTTATTTTTCATTTAAACATTTGCATTATTCTTATTACCCAAACTATTCTCCCATGAGCCTTCACGATTACCTTCTATCTTGATAGCATTAACAATCATATCTTAACTATAGAGATGAGAATAGCCAAGCTTCATGTCTCAGCAGGTAATAATACTGACTGTTTTTCTAGATGTCCTGGGTTCAATTCCCAGCACCTACACAGTTGCTCCTAATTGTCTGTAACTGTCCAGGGGAAACAACACCCTCATACTGATGTACATGCAGAGAAAACACCAATCACATGATATTTTTTTAAAAAATCCAAGTTTCAGCCGGGCGGTGGTGGTGCACGCCTTTAAGCCCAGCACTCGGGAGGCAGAGACAGGCGGATCTCTGTGAGTTCGAGACCAGCCTGGTCTACAAGAGCTAGTTCCAGGACAGGCTCCAAAACCACAGAGAAACCCTGTCTCGAAAAACCAAAAAAAAAAAAAAAAAAAAAAAAATCCAAGTTTCATAATATCTAAATGATCAACTATATAGCTCTGGTGGTCACCATATAAAGATGTTGTCATTGTTCTGTTTATTATACCATCAGGACTCTATAGTGTGTGTGTGTGCACTTATGCTCTTTCAAACTGACATTGTCTCCATCAGCAAAATGAAGAACACTGAAGCTAGACCATGGTCTCTGCACATTGCCTTGAAGTTCCAGACGTTGCTTTGAATAGACTAAGCAATTAAATTTGCTTTTTAAGATATCACTGCCCTGTGTTGAAAAATTATTATAGTACAATCATCTATAACTCCAGTTCCAGGGGATCCAACACCCTCTTCTGGCCTGTATAGGCACTGCAAGCTTGTAGTGAAGAGACATACAAGAAATAAATCTTTTAACAGGAAAGGGATAACTTGTTTTCAACACACTCGTATAGTGGCTTTTCTTTTAAAGCTTTGGAAGTTTTATTTGAAATCATTAACTTAGAAAACTTCCTATAAGATATACATTATTAGTAAAAGCACAGCTTGTGGAATTGATTATAATATCCAGAACTATCTTTTAATATAAAAAAATAGTAGATGTTAAAATGTTAGGTAGCCAATATTTCATTGAATCTTCATCCAAGTGAATGCTACTGGGTGTCTGTGTCTTTAAACAATACTTCTCTCTTTCTCTCTCATATTGTCCTGCTTAGTACCTGTGTGTCTTGTTAAATTTGATGATTCTCTGTATATTATGACAGAAGAAGAAGAAAATAATTTGTTTTTGGAAAATCATCAATTTCACTTTGCTACTAAATTAGCAAAAGTAGCCAACCATCCCAGATACACTCTTGGACCAAAAGTAACCTCAGATTTTGTCGGAATCTTAGCTTTTAAACCACAGTACACCAAGAACATCAAGTTGTGTTGTTCTGAATAAGAATCTCACCTATCATCCTGGATATTATATTTGATGAGATGGAGAGTTGGACTGGGGAAGGGATCAACCCAAAGAGGCATAATTGAGGGTGGCTGACATCATAGATGTAGGGGACAGGTGCAAGTCAGGGCATTGCTTCATGTGAAGAGCTCACTGTGAGGCTCTCTCCAGAAAATCCTGCTGCCATCTCCACCTTTACTTCCTATGGTGCGAATGGACTAATCTGAATTTGTTTATCTGTTTACACCATTGTGTGTTACAGCTTCCTTTGAGACCACACAAGATGCTCTCCTCGAGAAATATCTGATTGGTTTATTGTTTTCGATCTTTGTTCCACATACAGTGTTGATAGTCATTATGTTTTATTTTTTCTCATTTTTAATGTTCCCCGACTCTTTTACTCATATATATGATTTATCACGCTGATTGTGGACTCCTTGAGACATAGATCCATGACTAACACTAATTTTCTTTCAGTACTAAGAATTTGCATAACATTAGGTTCAGTGCATATTTTGAGTCTTCGCTTCTCTAGTTGTAAGATGCAGTAAAGTGGAATGCTAATATGTTCGGTAGCATCAAGAAAATAGTAAGGCAGTGCCAAAAAAGGAAGCCAAACTCATCAGGATTTCGAAGAAGAGAAAGAGGCATTCTTTCGAACTTGCATTTTATCACATCCTTTTTTGACCAATATGTTTTTAATTTTGAGAATTTTAAGTACTAGTCAGCAAAGGAACTAGAATAAAAATAAGTGAATATTAAACAACAGTATAGTACTGTGATACTAAAATGTCAACAAATATGGGGCTAATAAAATATTTAATTCATCATTTCCCACAGGTCAGGGAACCCTGATTGCTCTTCGAGCAGATGAGGGAGGGGGAATTGATCGGGGGAGGGGGAGGGAAATGGGAAGCGGTTGTGGGGACGAGGCAGAAATCCTTAATAAATAAATAAATTTAAAAAAAAAAAAAAAAAAAAAGAATTGGCAGATCCATATGGGATCAAATGTGTGTTACATATATGGAATGATTCCTATCCATAATTATTTCTTGTAACTGAATAAATAATGTCAACTCTGTATCATCTGATATAAATTTAGCAGTTTCAATATAAAAAAAAAAAAAAAACAAATGTTTTAATATATACTTAATCAGCTTCATTGTACAAATTTAAACTTAAGGAGAATTTTATTTTTTCCATAGGAAAGCAATATAAATATGAAACATGGCAATAAGATGTTAGAAAAGGCTGATTTTCATGATTTGAAGCTTATATTTAATTAGTATAGTCCTTATCTATTTATTTGCTTGTAGTCATCAAAATTAAATTATAATTTCCTGTAAAATGTGCACAGTGCAAAAGAGTTTTTGTGCCTGTTTAGTAAATTGTTTCTGTTACATAAAGAAATAAAATTTGGAGGAATTAATGTCATTTTTTCTCAGGAAATATCAGTAAATTAACTACTCAATTCAGAACCTATGTTACTATGCACTAAAAACATATATTGGGGGGCCTCCTTGTGAACATTTACAAGTCATTTGCATGTGCCATTTCAGATTAACAAGTTTAATAGCACATCACATTGTCATAAGAATTTGGAAGGAAAGAGAATTTTTTTAAAGGACTTCAAAGAATTTAAGAAGTTTGGTAAAATTCAAGTATTTGAGGCAGCAAGGGACTGAGAGCCTAAGTTGTTTCAGTTCCTGAGGCTCTGGTCCCTGCTATGCGCCACATTATCTCTTGCCACAGTTGAGAGAGCACCAGAAGCAAGGAGAGGAGTTACTGAGTCAAGAACCATTGTTTACAGTCTGAATTACTAAGTATACTTCTAAAGGAAATGTGACAATGTATCCTTGTTAGCTTGTACAAAGAAAATGACTACAAATGCCACATACCTTGATTACTCTTTTTTTTTAAGATTTAAGATGGTTTCATTATATTTTTCTGGACACACCATACAATTTCAAATAAACACACTTAATTTAAAAATTTTAATGAGTAAAAGTTTTCAAAGCATAATTGAAGAAATTACTGTAAAATAAAGTATGAATGTTCCTAACAAAATTTTATTTTTTAAATTAAAGACTAGTTTACAAATGTAAAGAAAATTAACAATAGTACTGACATTGTTTAAAGCTGGCAAATATCTTGTTTTTCTTTTGTCTTAACCTCTGTTGAACTGAGAGAACAAAAAACGCTTCCAAGGTCCTTGGTCAACCTGCCTATTAATTTCTAATAACAGATGAATCAGAGATGGCTTCCTTTTGGACACAGTTGCTTAATCAACTCCATGTTTCTTTATTAAAATCTCACAAGACGAATCTCACAAGAAGAAGGCAACTGCTTATAATCCCTCTTTTTAAGAAAATACGTTCAGTTTGATTCAGTGATAAAATTTAAAAGAAAAGACAAAACAAAAATTCTCCTTGAGATTTTTTGTAGTAATAGGAGCAGCAAGGCTGCGTCCCCAGCACCCCGGCCACCTGGCTGGCTTATGCCCGAAATACACACAAACTGTATTCATTTAAACACTGCTTGGCCCATTTCTATCTAGCCTCTTCTAGGCTAATTCTCACATATTAATTCAGCCCATTTCTAATCATCTGTGTAGCACTTCTAGGTGCGCTTATCGGGAAGATTCTAGCCTACGTCCATCCTGGGTCTCAGCTTCATGCATCTGCCTCAGAGAGCAGAGCTATTGCCTCTGTCCGGGAGAGGGGAGCATGGTTTACTTCTCACGAGTAAATTTGCTTTTTGACTAGAGTAGGATTAGAACTGACATCAGTTCAAGACATGAAAGATATGCATAACTAAATCCAATCATTCTTCTTTATTTTCTCCATTAACTTCACCCATCCAAATGGGCTTTGGAAATACCACTGTGGCACATGCCTTTGATCTCAGCACTAAAAAGGCTGAGACTGATGGAGTCTGAGTTTAGCCTCCTCTACTTAGTGAGTTCCAGGCCAGTCAGGACAACATAGTGAGACTATGTTTCAAAAAAAAAAAAAAATCAATAAACTTCGAATATCATGTGACAGTAAAATGATTCTGGATGTGAATATCAGAAGACCTGGACTTGAATTGTAGTCTCATGTTCTGATTGCATATGATCATCCTTTATGGCCTTGTCCAAAAGGTAGGGATGAATATAGTTCCAGAGGTTGAGAAGAGCAAATATCATAACAAAACTTTGTACATGGTTTAAAACCATTAGTAACGTTCATCTAAATATATACAAAAATGCAGTAGAATAAAGCATGGAAGAA